TTTAAAGATATACCTTTATGGTCATTAATGACATAAATACCTTTACAACAAAGGAGGTAGAAGACTGATTAAAAATGGATTAATTCTTCATTACTGGATTGTGCTCCTCATCATACCTTATGAAATGATTATTCAACTGAAAGCAGCAAGTATTAGGCAGTTTTAATAAATAAAGAGCCCTAATACATCAGGTCAAAGTAAACCCTCAGTAACAGTTATGGCAAAGCTTCCTTAAACTCCACTGTTTTCAGAATTTCTCTAACAGGTCAAAATTTAGCCTCAGGGTAGAAATTTTCCCAACCTTTTATAAAATCAATAAAATACAACAGAAGCTTGATGCAAAAATCAGAAGTCTTAAAGTCAGTATGCTAATTTTTGCAGTTGAAAGCAATGAAAAAGCCTGATTCCTTTTCATAATTAGATAAATTTCAATAAACTCTGATAATCTTACAGAGAAACAGAAAAAGGGAATGCTTTATAGTGTTCCTGAAGTAAAGAGGAGTGCACATAAAGTCATACAAAAACCCATGGCTGCTGCAAACATTAAATTAGAGTGATCTATAAAATAACATGCACATTTAGATAGTAAGCCATGTTAATTTAAAAATATGAAATGATCTCTATACAGTAAAAATGTCTTTACTTTCAATAAAGAGAGTTAATATAGGATTGTAAAATTTTACAACTGGTAGGAATATTGCATAAATATTTGCTCTGCTACATATAGACAAGCCTTGAGGCAATGCACAGTAATGGGGATCAGAAAATGAATGTATGGAGTTTAGAACATGTACACTGTGAGCAGCATGGCAAAACACCCAGAACATTAAAATTTACCACCTTAGTTACAAAAAAACCCAACTGTCTTCAAAATACATTCACATGGTCATAACATACTGCCTCAACCTTGGAAAGTTAACAAACCCCTTAGCATTGCAACATGAGTGACTGTTGGTTGGTTACAAACCAATGAAATTCCACCAAATCAGAATCTGTACATTCATTTACACCAAGGAAGAGTCTGGTCAATATCCTTCAAGCTGTATTTTAAATGCAGCATGTCAAGTAAATATTAACATAACACAAAACATGTATTTCGAGGGAAAAGCGCAAGTACAGAAAATGAACTTTTGAAAAAAATGAAAGCCATGTCATATGTTGTAAAAGCAGCATATTATGATGTACAGTGATATATTAAAGATAAATGTCCCAATGGTCTTTGAAAGCTTTGTTTGAATACCGTAACCAAATGACTACTTAACAAGTTTAAAAAGTTCATGTGCTAATTAAAAGTTAATATTGCAAGTAAACCCAACATTGCTTCATAACATTTTCATTGTTGTTTGATTGAACTGAATGATAAAACATTCTCGCTCGATAATACTCCATACAAAGGGTTTCTTTTTCCAATGTTTCTCCTCACGTGACAACCCACTGCTCACTCCTGCAGAATCTGGAACCTGGTGATTTCTCCCCAGCAGTTAAGGGCTTGCATAGTTTCTAGTTTGTGAAGGAAACCAAATAAACAATCTGATTCTCTGCATGTATTGTTAGCATTTTAAAAATGTACTTACAGCCAAGTGAAAAGAGTTCAGTTACTGAAAAAAGTGCCCACAACAATGTGAGATGATTATCATAGAATCATAGAATCAACCAGGTTGGAAAAGACCTCAAAGAACATCAGGTCCAACTGTATGGTGGTTATTAAACCATGGCACTAAGTGCCACATCCAGTCTCATCTTAATGCCCCAAAGCTCCTCTAGACCATGACCATACCTACGTTACCTGAGGAATGGAGCATTTCCAGGAAGATCAGAGTCTGGTCAGATTGCAGCCAAAATAAAGATATTCTTCTCACCTCAGGGGAACAAATTAGCTTTTCAGGTACTTCTCTGCAGAGCTGGTCTGGGAAATCACTTAACAAAACCTATGACCTCATTTAGTTTTAGGTCTGAAGGTCTAATCCCTGCCATTTGGGAGTATCACTTTCACTGTTCACACTAGGAAGAAAGCCCAATAATTCTAAAAACTGGCAAACCAGCCAGGAGCACTGGCACACTAGGTCTTTGCAAATTTGTAAATTCAAAAGTAAATTACTTAGATATAACAAATTTGGTGGCATTTTTTTAGAATGCTAAAAAGAAAAAAAATCAATTATTTAGCATTTGCAATATATTTTGCTTAGAAATTAGATTACTGAGTTATGGAATAGAAGTAATGCATTTAATCTAAAATACCAGACAAAACATATAAAAGAAGAACTACCCATATATAACTTACTAGAAGTTATATATTTAATAATAAAACAGAAACTCAAAAGAATATTTTATGAGGTAATTTAATTTAGGGTGTTCAAATTTAAACTTAATTTGTGATTTATTTTTATACTGCTTTTGCTTTTACATATGAAGTCACATATACAAACAGTTCTAGCATTAAAGGCAATACCATATTAGAAAATTATTACATTTTACGGTTATTAGTCTTTTATTTTAAGTAGTTTATACACTATTGAACAGCAATTACAACAGATAATAAAGAATTGTGCAATGTTTTAAAATTGTTTAACAACTTAATATAGAAAAAATAATTTAAATTGTAAGAAAAAAGTAGAATTCAAAGCTGTTGGTGCATTGTGTTGAAAAAAATGTGGACTTCCAAGTTAATGGATTGGGTTTTTCAATGAACACTGCAACCAAAAATTTGGAATTGGTGATTTTTAGTCTCCTGCCAGATAATGGATATGGTAACCTGAAATCCTATTTGTCTTATGTGGATTCTTTGAGTGTACTGCTATATAGTGAGATGGATTTTGTCTTTGATGGCACATCAGAACCAAGGAGGTTGTCTGTGCTGACCCCACAGAGGAGGGCAGAAATGCAGACACCAGCACAAGTCAGCCAAGGCAGGAGACAAAGCAGCCAGCACACTTTCAAGAGAGATTCCTGTGCCCAGCACCTGCTTGGCCCCTGCACGTGACAGGAGGTAGTGGAGACACACACAATATGTAGGTGTACTCTTGAAACAAAGGAGGTGGATAAAGTCACTTATATTCCGTATTTTCCAGGTACCATATAAATAGAAATGGGCATTCATTCACCTGAAATTGGAACTAGAGAAGATATACCTTCTGTCTGGCATTGCAGAGACGGATGCTCAGGAACATCCCACTCCATGCCGCAGCCTCAGGCAGGGGATCCGAGCCGCTCTCCAGGCCCTGACTGCTCATCTGCTCTTTCTTACCAACTTCTTGCTTATTAACATAGTTTAGCCCTTTGCAACTGCACAACATGGAAAACTCATATCCCTTGAGTAGCTGACACTGCAATCATAGTGGCAAGACGTTGTTTGCTATAGTTTTAATGCAATAATTTACTAAAATTTGCAATATTGATACAGGTAAGTTCTAATGCTATAGATGCAGAAAATAATATCCAGGTATATATGTTTTAGGATATCGTATTACTTTCCAAAGGGTTAATGTCTGTAGCTATTAATATGCAATGTATATTAATAATACTTCAAATTTACTACTCTTTCAGTTCAATTTCATATGATTTTATTATACTATATAAAAGGGCAAAAAGAAGTAATTAATTGGGAGAGCTATCACCTACCTTTTATTATGGAGGGCCTACCTCTAGCACTAACTGTCACACTGCAAATCCTCAGCTTCACTCAATGATACACGTCATTTTATCTCAGAGATGGCTCTAGCTCAGAATGGCTTCTGCTTTTATTCTGGACCATCACAGGTGTGGGTCTGATACAGCTCATGCTAAAGCAAATGAGAAGATTTCACTGGCTAAAGCCAAGTGAGGTTCAACAGCAATAAAAAGGCTGCAGAGGTAGGGAGAAGTCTCCAAAATACTGTTAAAAACAATGGCAGTATATTATTATTTTAATTATTCTACATTATTCTATTTCTTTAGCAGGAAAAAGGGGGGGGTGATATGAGGTAAGAATTTGTATCAAACCCTGGTGAGTTTCCCATGCGAAGTTCTTCCTGACCTCCCTTCGTGCTCATGTGTTATCGCTACCTTCATACACTGCATAGGCAGCAAGGACCTCCCTCTGACAGATCTGCTGCCACTGAGGGCTGTGTGCCAGCAGAGAAAGGATGCTTGGTGGAACCAAGCCCTTCCCTACGCTCTACCTTTCTGTTACAAGCAATATTCCCTTGAAGTCAAACTGCCACCGATACGATCCCTTTTTCCCCCTCTATCACCAATGTTATATTTGTCACATTGTCTTTTTGTGATTTAGTATAAAAGGGATTAGCTCCAACAGTCAGCAGTTTGTGCACATACTACGAGTAGGCAAAATTTCTCACGGTGACATCAAACCGCTACCGCAAACACATCTATTACCCTTTCTCTCTGGCTTGGTAAGACAGCTGCCCTCAAGGTACTGGCCTCTGAGCCTCCCTGATAAATCACTGACTTGTAGGAAACCTGATTATCCCAACATAGCAGGGGTAGAGGATGCTGTTCAGCTGCAGAAGGACATGGAGGAACAACATCTATGAGGCTTATAATGAAAGATTTTTGATATACTTAAGTTGTTAACAAAAATTTATTGCAAGAGATAGTTTGTCACTAGATTTACAGTTTCAGAGAACATAGTACAAAACATAGTGCATCAGCTTTGTCTAAACATTAAATAGGTGCAAATACACAAAGATAAAAAACAAAAAGTGAATACTTTACAACATAAGTTATAGAACTATAAATATATTTTATATACATTATACATATTCTAAGACATTATTTTCACTTATATATAGACAGAGTTCATAATTAGTATCAGACTATTCAGTGCTTTAGTTATAGTATAGGTCTGAACTTGACATGAAAGTTTGCATCCTTACACTTACAGTAAATGCTTCCCAAGGAACGAGGAGTTTTAACCAGTTTAGTTCCCAGAACCATTTTGAAAAGTTGAGGGATCCAGCAGGAAGGTTTTGTTGAAGGCTCCTTCCCCCATCCCCATTCCTGTCCTAAAAGAGGGGCTGCAGGGGGATGACAGCTGGATGTGGGGACAGCAGGGACGGGAAGACAGTGTGCGGCAGTGGGGGGAACGCCAGCTGGGTCGGGTGCAGGACTGAGGGCGGGAGCAGCGGCAAGTGCGGAGGGGCAACGAAGGCTGCGTGGCCTCCTGGGCACAGCCTCGGTCCTACAGGTAGATGAGGTAAAGGTGCTCTGGAAAGAGCTGGGACCTGTGAGAGGAACTGCTGGTGGGGCTGGAGAACCTTCAAGGTGCCGGCGGCGGCAGCAGCGTGCTGCTGCAGGATGGTGTGGTGGATGGTGGTGACGGAGGTAGAACACAGCGGTGGCTGCAAGGGCAAGGGCTGCAGAGGGGCACTCGGGGGCTGCATCGCCGGCGGAGGGAAGGCGAACTTCACTTTGTTGGACAGCAGGTTCTGTGGCATGATCTGCTGATACGCCTCGGATGGGAGCTCTTTGAACTTTTCGTGGCTATCAGGAGGGAAGATCAATGTCTGATCGGGCAGGGGGAAGGGGGCTATTAACTGTTCGGTAGTTAAAAAGGTGTGACTGTTTACATGTGCTTCTTTGAATGGCAAGGGTGGTGGGCTGCTGAATATGCCAGGATTACACTGCACCCACTCACTGGTCACCTCACTCATCTTCTCATGCGGTAGAGACTCGGCCAATTCATAATGGCAAAGATAGGACTTAGGAGGAGCTTGTTCCAAATGCCTGTTGGGGAGAGGAGCTTTGTAACGAGCTTGATTTTCACGACTGTTGACATTTTCTTTTTTCTTTTCATCTTGTAGAACATCCTGTGTGCCAGCAGCTGCTGGAGCACTGTGCTCAGGAACAGAAGCAGCAGAAGCTGGGATGACATCAGAATATGTACTCGGTGCGCTCTCCATCGCTGCACACACTGTCAGTTTGTCATTTTCCAGCACATGTGAACTATCAGTTTCTAGAGATGATTTGCTTTCCTCCAGCTCCATTGTTTCATCTGTATCTTTTGTGTGATCAGGTTTGGGATCTGCATTAGTTTCCTCTAGATTGTCTTGAGTCAGTAAGTCCTCCAAAATATTAGATGTAGAATTTGCAGAATTTTCTTTGGAAGGTCCAGAGGTCTCACTTCTTGCATTCCTGTCAAGGAAAACAGGATAGATTCTAGTTTTCCTTCTCCTGCGTTTCCCTTTTGCCTTATGGTATGTACCTAAAGTATGTGCTTGCCTTAAATATTCCTCTGCTGATAATGCCTGGTCACATGAGCTTTCATCTGAAGAAGAAGAATCGGTGTGCTGTCTCCGCTTGTGGTGGGATTTTGCAGGTTCTTCTGTCAAAGCATTGTAACCTCTCTTTACGGACTGGTTTTGACTCAGACCCTTCTCTTCACTGTATTGTCCTAAACATTTATGCTCTGGGCTACAGCTTGACCTCCTGACTTTCCAGCTACAACATGTTTTAGAGTATCTCAGGCTGTGCCTCCTAGAGCTCGGCACCAGCTGCTTTGCCTGTCTCCGAGAACTTGTTTTGCTCTTTCTGTGTGGCCGTTTACAACCATGGTGTTGGCCACTATTTTTTGCACTCCAAAAGTCACACCAGCCTCTGTCCCAGTGTATGTGATCTGATGCAGATATGACTCTCTTGTGACCATTTTCAATTACGAGTTTTGGGTGTGACTGCTGTATCTCACCTGCAGTTAACCAGATATTCCCTGCATCATGTCTGCACTTCTCTGCATTACTTTGGAGGTGTTGATACTTATTTTCATCTCTGTAAGCAGTATCTTTTTCAGTTGCTGGAGACATCTCCATTTCTGCTGCTGTTGTGTCCCCATAGTGATGATGATGGCAATGACATAATTTTCTTCTCCTTTTCCGTTTTCTGCTTTTGTGAAGGCATTTTTCGTGGCTTTCTTTGATCCAGATTTTGTTATATTTCTCATCTATCACAGTGTTTTGTCGTAAGTGGGTTTTAGATATGTGATACTTTTCTATTTTTCTAATCCTGAATGACTCATCCAAGGACACTTTGTTTTGATTTTTTGCAAGGTCACAATTTCTGAAGAGAGAAACATCAGTTAAAAGGGGGATTGTATAGTTGCACACATTTTTATTCACTTCTTCATAATCACCACACTCTGAAGTAGTTTTGTTTGTAAAATCCGAGACTAAGACATGGTCAGATTCAGTTTTAGGGTGCACATGAGGTATGCTTGGTTGATGCTTGGGCTTTTCTTGGCTGTCACTTGTTTTTGATGACTTAAAATCAAAATATAAAGGATTACAGCTATAAGAAATCGATGGGTCTGTACTTGTGTAAATTAACATTTCTGACGGCCACTGAAGAACATTTGATCCATATTTGCTAAGAACAGGGACAAAGGGCTCACAAGGTCTCTTGCGCACGTCCGGTTTGCCTTGTGGGGCTCCACTACTACCTTCTTCAGAAGGTGATGGAACTACTGCATCTGTCCCCACGTTTTTTATTGCAGTTCCAGTTGTGGATGGATCACTATTCCTGTCTTTATTGTTTTCCTCCACAACATCCTGCAGAGATAAACAATCCTCCACAACCACCTGCGCAAGAACCCTGCTTGCCTGCAGCTCACATCCGCTGCCATCCAAGGGCAGGACCTGAGCACTGTCCACAACCGTGGTCAGCATTTGGTCTGGTAACTCTGCTGCACTTACATCCATACCAGAGCCATCCGTGTCCGAGGACACCAGTTGCTTTGACTGGGACACAGCAGGAGTTAATGCTGGAATCTCCAGCACTTTGCTTTCTTCACTGCCCAGCTCTTTTGACTCCTGAGCTTCAGGAGCTTCTGCTGCGTCTCCGCATTTTTCCACCAGTGGGTGAAAACAGTTATGTTTCTCCTCAGGGCACACAATTATTTCTGCTGCTGAAGGAGACTGAAGGTTACACGTTCCTGGAACAAACCTACTCCTTCTGCTAAATCCGTGCTCCATGGATGTTTCATCATTATATTCATAGAAAACGGCAGCTGAAGACTCCAGTTTGACTGCTGCTTTCTTAGGAAAAGCAAAGGAGAACCCAACTCTATGTCCTTGAGCTCCTTGAAGCTGATCTCCACCTTTGTTAGTGTCAGATTTATTACTACACACATCTCCAGGAGTGGAAGAAACAAGAGAGGCAACGTCTTTGCAATTCTGCACGTCGGGCATTAACGCACAGCTGAAATCCTGGTTGGTGGCAGAATCTATGGCAGCACTTTTGGGGACATCATTGCAGTGATCTCTCACAGTCACTGTAGTGGATTTGAACATAGGGCCACTTCCAGGAGCACTAGGAAGAAAAACAAAACCCTGAGTCAGTACCTTTTGGAGAAGGGCTGACAGAAACATGGTATTACACTGGTATCTATGAGAATTTTTAAGGAAAGGCAAAGAATCTGTGGATATGTAGATTTAGAATACGAAAAAATGCCATCTCTGAAAAAATGCCACTTTTATAATAAGGTTAGTTGACCAGTATTAAAAGAAAGAATGATGAAATATTATGCCCTCAGCTTCTTCATGTGAAGTTATCAGCTGAAGGACTTGTATTCGTAAAAGGGGGTTAAATTTTCCTACGTGCTGGGCAAATAAGAGACTCTATACCTCCCCAGAAATCTTGCCTCTCCTCCCAGCAGACCATCATGGTTACAACACTATTACTACAAAATAGCAGAGGTTTTGCATTCCATTGTGCTACAAAATATATTAAACCAGTGAACGCCTCACAGAGCACTTTCCTCTTAGTCATCATTCTAGTGACTGCTGCTCTGCCCACAGGCAATCCCCCAGCAGCTCCCATCCTATTTGTGTTCACAGACCAAACCAGCGCCATCTCAGCAATTTCTTTCATGGAAAAATAAAACTGGAGAGAGTATTTCAGCTGACAGTAGTGAAGTAAGTGATTCATCCCTCTTGAGAAAAAATTTATCACTGTCTACTTCTGTTCTTCATTTCACATCCTCTTCCCATCTGTTCTATCTGACTTAATAGGAAGCAAAGAGAAGAGCAAAAACTGTTTAAGCTGCCAGTTTTCCAGGATCCACAGGAACAGCTCAGCACTAGGAGTAATGGACCTATGTTAAAACAATTTGTTTGTTTGTTTTAACCAAATTATTCCATGTTACAGCTCAGAGCAGTACTAGATTACCAGTCACTGGGAAAAGTGAGATAAAGAAGGATTAATTTACCCTATCGGGTCTAGAAATTAGGGTAGAGGTTTTGTGAGACAGGAATTCCTCATGAGGATTCCTGCCTTGCCCAGTTCTTCATAAATTTAAAATATATATAAACCCCCCCATACAAATCCTTTCTTTAACAGAATAAAATGTTGACTTCTAGAAAGCCAATGTAGAAAATACCAGTTAAAAAAAATCCTGAATGTCTGTCTACATCACACCTCTAAGGATGCAAAGTGGTAGTAAACAGCAATTATTAAACAGACAAATAAAGCCCAGATAGAAATTCTCCTTCAGGAGGCAGAAGAAGGATATTTATAAAACCCCAAACAATCCAGAAACAACAACAGCTTGCAAAATCTGTGCTTTACAAGCATGGGAAAAGGAAAACAGTAAGTTCTTCTTTCCTCTTTGTCCGGAAATATGCTAAATTCAGATTTTGGAGCATGTTTAGGGGGAATAGCATCTAATATCCTCAAGCATTAAATCTGGACAGTTCAAACACTGATGGAGGAGAAAGTCTGTACATGAGTTATCATAAAAAAGATTCAAAAGTGAGGCGTCATGTTGCTCCTTTCAATCAGACCTCACAACACTCATGTCCCATCCACCTGCTCAGACAGACTTTGTTTCAGCATGCTGCCCACCACCCAAACTAGGGAGAAACAGACTATTTTTGAACAAGAACTGTGACTTGGTTGGACTTCTCTGTTAGCTCATCTGGTGAGACGAAGGCTGAATAAAAAGAAAACATTTGCACTCGAGCATCTACATTTTTTTTACTTTTTTCCCTAGAGATCACACTGTGACAAGAACATATTTTCAGTGGCTTATCAGTGTCAGAACTGTGTCATATTTGAGAATGCAGTCACAACTAGCAAGCTCAATATTAATTTCAACCGCATGCCTAGATGCAATACTGAAATGTATGAGTAGCAAGGAGTCACTTCTGCAGAGGGAGGTAAACATTCTGTTGAGCTGGGAGAAAGGAGCACTTACCTTTTAATATAAAAAAATCCAGCTATTGAAATTTAAAGCTAGATTTCTGGATGCCTTCCCAGGCGAGCATTTTGAAAACGAAATCGCAGAGATCTGTTACATCCTAGAGAGACAGACTGTGTTCCTCACCTCATCAATGAAGTAGTGTCAGCCTGCAAATGCATGACCTACTTCACTCAGCTTTCAACCAATGTGCCTGGTTTTATGAAATATATATGAAACACATCTTTTTTTAAACTCCAAATACATGTCATTTTAGCTCTGCTGAAAAAGCAACGTTAAACATTCATTTCTGCACAGAGTGTGAATCAAATTGCTGTACACAGGCTGCCTCCAAAATGCCATAAAAACGCATGTGTGGAGCTCCAGCTAAGGCACTCCAATTGCCCTGTGTCCCACAGCACCAGCTAACAGTGGAGGGCTTAGTTTAAAGTATTTTTTGTGTTTCAGCAGCTATGTACTTACCACGTTCTCTCTTTCCTCAGCTCAGCTAGTTTGTGCAAGCGTTGAAGGGCTTTTTCCTGCTTTCTTTCATCTTTTCGTGACTTAGATGCTACGTTTCGAGCAAACTCCCTCTGTTTCAGTTCCTTCAGTCTCTGCAACAAACAGCCATAGAATGCACATAAAAACCCCAGGGATGAGAAACGTTTACAATGACAGTTACTTGCTGGTAAGTGCTCATGGCATGAATTATTTTTGAACCCAACAAAAGTGACCCCTTTAATAAACTTAAACATTTCAAGGGAATAACCAAAATACATAGAGATGCTAGAGACCGGGTTAGCTAGGTTAAAGATAACCTAGAAATTTTTGCTGGCGCCTTTATGATGATGTAGACCAGATTTAGCAGGATGAGGCTATGTTCAGCCAGGATTTTGCTCAGGACTTTCTTCAGAAACTTTCCCCACAGCATAATTGCTTTTTGAGGAATCAATAAAAAATGAGACCACCTCAGGTAGTTTTCTGCAAAGCTGCTCTGCAGCCTGCTGACCCCCCCAGATGAATATTAAATTCCACATTTTTCTGCCAGAGATGCTGGGCATGGCATTTGTCACCACTGCACTGCAGGAGGTCCCTGTCAGCCCTTGTCTCCAGCTTACTAAGGTCCCTCAAGACCTGCCCTGCCACGTTATCAGCATGCTAACATCTGCAGAGCTCCTGAGAGAGTGCTGTCCTGCCATCCAGGTCATTATTAAAGATGTTAAAGGGTCCTGTCCCAGCAGGTATCCCCAAGGGATGTAATGGCCAGAGAAGTCTTGTATTTTGAAATGGGAAGATTGCCCCTTTGAAGGAGCTTGTGTTTCCTGCTCTCACTGGTGTCTGACAGAGCAGTACAGCAGACATCGAGGTTCAATCCAGTATCTCATTTGATTTCATCTCCAGTCTGTTTCTTTGGAGGGAAATCAAAGTGCACAGCTCTGATCCTGCACACCTAAAGGGAATGTCATTTTCTTTATATCACAGAAAGACAATACACAAAGACTTTCCCATTTCTTCATGTCAGCAAAAAGTATTCCAGGTGTGAAGGCTGGCAGCTGGACTGAAGGCCTCACCAATGAGAACAGCATTGACCTTGATGAGATAAGCCTGTATCCCTGAGACTAACCAGGTAAAAACACCTTGTGAGAAAGGAAGAAGATGACTACAAAAAGAGAATGATAAGCCTATATCCATGAGACTAATGAGGTAAACGTCTTGTGAGAAAGGAAGAAGATGGCTATAAAAAGAGAATGTTTCAGGATAGTTAGTAAGGGCACGTGTAAGCAGCTGTTAACCAATAAATTAAGCATTACCACATCACTGACCGATAGGTAATTAACACGGTGTGTACACGGTGTGTGAAGAACAATATACATGAAGCACTGTAGAAATAAAATGGGTATTAGAAATAAAATTTGGTTATCATCACAGAACCTGTGTCTTGACTGTCTCTACACACGCAACAATGTCTGCAACATCCAGGAGATCCCAAACCCCATCAGTGCTCGGTGTGTCCCCGATTATGGCTCACAGTCAGATGACATCATCTTACAAGATCATAATCTCATGATTCTGGGAAGAACCCGGTAATTTGCCACAGTTTTAGTGTCCAGAGGCTAACGACTGGCCATGAACAGGGGCCACGTTGATTTAGAAAAGCAATAACTCTAACTTCAAATAGTTTGACAGGTATTGAGGGTTTTTCTTATCCCTGGTGGCGCATAATAAATACACACAGATTAGAGTTTGCAGAACTCTATCAGCACTGTTCCCCTGCTCCGTCTCAATTATTTAATTTCATCTCTTTTGTGAATTTTTATGTCTCTTAATCACAGTAAAATGCCCCTCATGCACTATCCTCCACTTCTCCACTGAGACGGAGGTCAGTCACTGGAAGAGGGAAGTGGACACAGCACCAACTCTGCTAACAGCTGAAGGAGCACCTGGACAACACTCTTGGTCACATGGTTGAGTTTTAGGTAGTTCTGCAAGGGGCAGGGGTTGGACACATGATCCTCATGGGGTCCCATCCAACTTGAGATATTCTATGCTTCATTTGCACACTGAGTTTGTCTTTGCCATTTTTGGTGATGTTAAAGCTACCTTGGCAGTCCATTTAATGCCAAGGAACAAATATGTAGAAACATGCTGAGAAAGCAAACTTGCAGAAAAACATGGACCACTCTCTATTTTCAATTTTTGCATTCTTTTTCTAATAACTGGATATCTTTGCTAGACCAAGAGAAATAATCTGAAATGTAATCACTTCTTCCACAATTAATATAGTGTACATCGAGCCATCAAAATTTGCTTTATTGTGCTAATACAGTATAAGCCTATAACTGCACTCAAACTAAGTGCAACTTTTTTTTCCCCAGAAAAAGAATACTTGAAATGTGAAGCATCTTTGTAGAACATTTCTTACCCCTCTGCACTCCTGGTTTCCTAAAGATAGCACGACACTGACCGTGCTTCCTACCAGCCACTTGTGAAACCTGAAGTATTTCATTTCATAGGCAACTTCTGAGTACTTGGAACACAAAAGAAGGGATCAACTTTGCTCCTTCCCCTCCCAACCTCCAGCCTTTGGCACTTAAAAAGAGAGGATTTCATTGCATTTTGTGGAGCTCAATAATTTTTCTTTCTTTTTTCCCCTCCAATTCTTAACGAAAGAAGTACATGATAAAGCAAGAGAAGGAAAGAAATAAGTTGCCTTCTCAGAAGGTTAAAAAGAAGCAGCTGAGGTGTTTACAAATCCATAATCACCCTCCAGCAGCAGCACCTCTCCTAGGATGATTATATTCAGTGATTTATTCTGACCAGATTTTGACTCCTTCAGTCACTGCTGAAAGTGAGCAGGACCACACCATCAGGAGTGCTGAAGTCAGCACAGCTCCATGTTTCAGGGTGCAAAATAGGGTCTCACTCACAGTCAAAAGGGATATGCTGGTGAGGGAATTTTACATAACCCTGGATGCAGAGAAGATGCATTTCATGCCTATCACTGCCAAGCAAACATCATTCCATTGATCTAAGCCTTTACAGTCACTATCCATTTAGCACATACCAGGTCTGGTAGAGAGGAACCATTCACAATTTTTAAGTAATTAAATTGTTCTCCTTGAATGGCTGCAAGTAGGTGTCAATGTGTAAGACAGATGAGTCTGGCAGGAGTTTTGTGTACACAGCCTTCACGTCGGACTGCCTGCTCCTCTCTTCTGGAGAACTACTCGTTCCAGAGCTCCCCTTCTGTCAGACCTCCTGTCAGACACACCATCCCTTTCCTGCATGGAAAACTGGTCTTAACAGACTATGAACTACTTATACAATGTGTTCTGGGGTTTGGTTTTTTTCTTACAACTGGTATCTCAATTTTTTTCATGAAGTGCTTTAACAATCTGCAAGGATTACACATTGGTAACTCCTGAGAACTTTTATTCTGCAAATGCATATGTTTAAGTGGAACTTTTCTTATTTCTTAACCACAAAACATGCACCTGGTGCAAGCTGGTTTGAGGTTTCAAAAAAATACTCTTTACTATACTAAAATGTACCTAAATAAGAAAATGTGTTTCCCATCTTTTTATATTGTAGTTATTGTCCATTTGCCTTTATTTAACTATCATCACTTGCGTTCCCTTACTGCACTTGAGTCATGCTAGGGATTGCTAGCATTACATTTATACTTCCCTGGATTTGCAAAGTGTTGGTTTCATTCAAATTATGCAAATTAAAATGAGATATCACCCAATTATAGGTAAAACACCATTAACCTATGCATTCTGAGCATCAGAAGGACCCCCCAAAAGCTGTTCAAAGCAAACAGCAGCAATAAAAAAGTTATTCCTACAAAGCATCTTTTTCTTAATGTTTTTCTGCCTTTCCATGTGGCAGAGATATTCAGTAATTCTAACTTCAATAGCTAGTTTAATGCCCGTTATGTTTGTTTGTTTCCATGGATCAGTAAGCAAATAATTAGCAGGCAGGCATACAGGATTGGATTCCCTCCTGTATTTTGCTCTGCTTACGAACCAGCTCTAAATGTGTAAGACTCAGCAAGCAGAGTTCAACAAACAGTTCACAATGAATAATTAAATGACATTTCTCCAAGAGAACTAACTGCCTTCATCATTGTCCTGATACACTGTATTGCCACTTTGAAGGAGCAGAGCACGGATCACCGTCAGTTTGCGAATGACTTCACCCAGCCCAGAGCAATGGGAAGCTTGACCCCGACTCTCCAGCCTTGAAATGTGATCCTGCAACTGGATTGCCTTCACTCAGGCATAGGCTGGGTTGTTTTAACAAATCTAACTGTAACACGGCCTGAAGCAGAAATAGTCCATCTACTTCTAAAGAACTCAGCCACTGCACACTCAGTGCATCATGCTAAGCTGAGGTATCTGAGCCCAGGTGAAAAGGTTTTACAGGCTCCTATGTACCTATGGGTGGGTGAAATCACACATGAGATGACCACATGAGGTCTAGACTCAGGTGTGGCTGCATTTCACTCAGAGGCATAGAGCTTTGGTGTTCCCAGACTTGCCATGGAAGATAACCATCAGAATAATCAAAGGAATGCTAAGTGGACTTCCAACAGGACACCATTTCTGGTCACTTCACCCGTCTTCATTTCCCCATTTACCAAATTAGAAGGTTCATTTCAGCTTGCTGCTTTTCAAAAACTTTCCTCATTCTGAGTTTCCTCATTCTCCCCTGCATTTTGTAATACAGGAACCACAAGCCCAGATCCTGCTGCCAGAGGCAGGTGCCTGAAAACCTCTGTGGATCAAAGCCTCTCAAAACCAAAGACACATTACAGCATTACGTGCCCTTCTTAGATCACTATTACAAGCCCTTTGCCACCTTGCAAAGTGGCTGTTGGTTTTGGTTTTTGGGTTTTTTTAACTCAAGATTTAAGCACTTGTAACAATAACACTTAAAACTAATGGGCCTTCTAAACACAGAGAAGAAATTAATTAATAAATATACTCAGGACAGAGAAAGCTGAGTAGTGAAACATAACATACTGAATACTATGATGTCAGGTGATAAAATTTGGGGGAAAAGAACCTTAGCCTCAAATAATATTATAACTTCGAACATGTAATTTAGT